CACTGTAACTGACTTATGGAACGCATTAATATTGTCCGCACTTCCGCCGGCTAACCGCCTATTTTCCAGACTTAAAAGCTGCCCGTATCAAATCACTCTAAAACATACATTCTACACTTTAAATTAGGCTTTAATCAAAACGTACTTTTATGAACATGATATACGTACACCTGCTTTATTCTCAACGCGATTTACATGAAATACTGCATGGAATTGAACGATATTCAATACAGTGAGTTCCTGTCTGAGTAATATATCAATACGAAATACAATAATTTACACTGAGCTCGATAAATGTTAATACTGATTTAATATTTAATATGGAACGTGATTAAAATTGCACTGCGTTTAGTCGTAGTTATCTCTCTAAAACAAATTAGGGAAATACAATTTTTAATCGGATATAGACTAATAAATTAAAGTTGTATAAACCGAAATTGTGTGAGTATATCGCCGCAAAGCCTCGCAAACAGTGAGGTGAGCAAGCACAAAGAGCAGTACTGTAAATCAGATGTACCACGCGGGAGATTTATGAGCAAATAAAACGACCACAGCGACGCCGGCCATCGCATGGAATAATTTCAATTTAACGCCAACTACGTACGATAAATTAATGTTAAGTGTACACAGTACAAACTATTGGTACTCTCGTTAGTGTCCACTAATTAACTCGTAATAATCGGGAATTACATAACGCGTTCAATAGTCCATTCAACGTCGTGATCAAATTACTGGTTATTAGGCGATGGCCCTGTAATTTGCAAAAAACCAACGTATGCATAGTTCAACTGCTTTAAAAGATTGACATTGCAACAATTATATGAAAGATAGTTTCAGTATTTTTTAAGTAACTATGTAAGTATGAATTTCTTATCTGGCTACTTTCTTCTATATCTTTATCTCATGTTTTGTTTAGGATAATGTCTCACTTAGGGCTAATGTCAAAAAACCAAGCTTTCTTTTTTTGTTGAATGGCAACCGAATCTATACCACATAATCTATTTCGACACTTTTGTAATACCTGGCCACTAAAAAATGCGGGTTGCTGGAACAGTCTTGACATTTTTTTTCCATACAGGGAAACAGTTAATATGAATAATTTTATTCATATGTAGGTCTTAGAAACAGTGCCTAGTAAGCATTGCCTGAATAATAATAGGCCGGCCATTACTTAGGTATCATAATCGTCACTCATCATCCGTCACTCATGTATGCTGTTAACATAGGCAGAGGTATATAGGTACTACACACAGGTACATATAGTACATAGTCTGGTTTACGCGTAACTCCACTTACTGTCATATTCGTGTAACTTGTAATCTGTTAGTGTGTACGTAATTGTACAGTTCATTGTTTTAATAAAGCAGATTAATACATCAATTTGGCTTACAGTGGGCTAAGTTAAGAGAATTTTCCACTATATGGGCCAAAAAAATATCGTTGAATTATAGTTATCATAATTTTATGTGCTGCTCTCGTGTGTGAGCCAAGAGGAAGACCTAGACTAAAAAAACCACTGCGTTCTTCTCCTGCTGCAAGCCCTGAACTGGGGTAATAGCTCTTGAAAATTATTTTTGAGCCTTTACGTCATATTATTGACTTATTGGATTCACAGTTCATGTTGCATGGCAAAACAATATTCTTTGAAATGTTATATTAAAATAAAAAGATTACCTAAGAAAAGTACCTACCTACCTACCTAGTACTTATACATATGTATAACTAGTGTCTTCTCCTACTAATCCCTTCGAATTGGACACACGGTAACTGTTCCATATACATTTTGATTTTGAAATACGAATCGGCGCCGTTTACTCTGACTACACACAGCTCTTATCTCAGCTATCCCGAACAGTTATCTGATAAGATTAGTTACTGTAACTTAAGGAATGAAAACAGATTTACGGCCCAAAATATCTGTACTTACGTTAAATCGAGGATAACAACAAACGCGTTCGTTGGGAGGATGTGATGAAGCTCATTGCAGGAGCCATATAAAGAAGAGTTGCCCAAAACCTACTTCATAGAAGTAGCTCAAGGAGGCCTTTGCAAACAGGCACAATAAGATGAGGAATATCCTACGACGACAAAGGGAAGGAAAAGACTACGGAAATGAACCCTCACTCAGTCTTAGTACTAAAATATGATAATCTATTTAAGCGTTTAAAACATCACATGACGTATGCAACTATTCATATATGTATTATGTATCATATTTTTACTGTAAAAAAGGTTATTTGGATGTTAATTTAGTCGTCACCTTAATTAGTACACAGAATGTTCCATCATTTGCAATTTAATAGTATGAACTTAAAATATGTATAAAGGATTGGCAAGGCATTGACCTCGTTTTATTTTTTAGGTACTTTAAGGAACTAAAGTTTGCTAGGTTTATTCCTTGTCGTACATTCTCTTAAGGTTAGTTAATCAGTTTTTTTATTAGACACCATGATGCCCTATTCATGAGTAAACTTTTATTTGCCCGATTTAAATCTTTAAATCTTCACATATGTGACGAAGTTTTGAATGATGCGTACTAAATAAAACATATAAAACCTTTGTTCTTAATTCTGTTACCTACCGAATTGTTTTTTTTTAGTTCCATATTTAGTTGGAAACCTTTAAATCGTATACTTAGGTACAATTAATGGCAGCTGCAAATGTTAATTCTATAAGAAACATCGATAATACTTTCGATATCACATTATTACGATAAATAAAGTAATTAAATAGGTGAAGTGATAAGTGAATTAGAAACGGTGTTTCATAGGTGCTACTGTATATTTTAATGCTACTTACGGAATTGATAAAGCTGAAATGCATGAAAAATAGATAAGAGAGACCTGTTCCTTAATAAAACTTGGTACCCTCATTAAAAATATCAAGATCCAAAAAGATTCTTTATTTATTTATTTATTTATTTATTTATATATTCTTTATTGCACACAACATTAAAATTTAATACAAAGAGCAGGCTAACAATCACAGAGTGTACAATGGGCGGTCTTATCACTCACGGTGATTTCTTCCAGACAACCTTTGGATGGAAATTAAAAAGTGAAACTGGAAATGGGCAGTCTAGTGCACAATAAATAAGTAAAGTAAACTGGTAGATATAAGTATATTTTAGTTTGTATGGAAACATAGTTTCTATCTCTCAAACTCTTTTTTGAAATGTTCGTAACTTTAAGGTGTTGATGATACTCGTTGGAATCAATGCAACACAATTTTTTACCGATTTAGTTTCGAATCTCATGTACCCAATAAGTGAGGCACCGCAACCTCGGCCCAGGAGAAGGAACAGGGGGGTTTTTAGTAAGTAAGAGTCTGACCTTCCCTCCCTGCCGGCCCGGAGATGTCATTTGATGATTTTCCCCACACAAAAAAAAATGTACCCAATAAGATTTTTTTACAGGCGAAAAATCACATGACTTCTCACTGTGGAGGGAGTGTCAGACTCTTACTGACTAAAAACCACCTCCTTTCTTCACCTGCTCTAGGCCGGAGGTGCGGTACTTACATTAAATAAAAGTCTAAACTGGACAGTAATGGATGAGTCTAAAACCATCCGACGTTCCTAATACACAAAACAGCAATTTGAATCCCTGGATAAATTACTGCTATAACAACTAAAGTTTCTATGAACAACAGAACATGCAACTCCTACTCAACACTTACCTACATAAATTCTCATGACATAAGGCGCCGGTTGTTGTCTAGACATCTAATTACCGCAAGTGCCGCTTGCCTTTATTTCCAAGACAGCAAAAATTGTGTTTGATCTATTTTCATATTATTTGTACTCCTAGTATACTGAAGCAGGGTTATTTTATAGCAAGTAATAGATAATATTACATGCATAACATAGCATTTTGCGATCTCAGAGTCTTAGAGAAGCAGTGGTGCACATTTTCAACTTTTTCATTTTCTCTTTTGACCCTATTTTTGACACGCACTGAAAAAGTCCCTTAACTTAACAAGGGATCGAATCTGAGACACCTTGCTCGGCATTTATACTAGCGGTCACCCTATTTACGTAAAAGTTGTAAAATATACCCTAAGTGTAATGAATAAGAGTGCATATTTCTATGTACTTTGAAAAACTTCCTGATATGTATATGTTTACAATAAATATGTACACGTAATCACGTATGTTGTAATAGTTTTTCTCGTTTATCCAGTTTAAGACAATATTCCCCACTATGTTCACATCGTTTTAAAGCCATTTTTGTTCATTTCCCAAAAAAAAAACAATATAAGAAGTTAATATTTTGACCTTTAACAGTAAGTAGTAGTTGTCTCTTGTCTTAATATTACTTACTAGCATTTGCCCGCGAATTTATTCGCGTGGAATAGTGGCTTCCTGCAGATTTATAGTTTAAAAACTATCTTAAGTCCTTTTTCAAGTTCAAATCTATGTCTGTACAAAATTTCACACAAATTGGTTCAGTAGTTTAGGCGTGAAGAAAAGACAGACAGACAGATTTACTTTTAAGCATGTATTATATACATACATTTATAGCATTTATAATATTAGTTTGGATTTCTCGTAGGATATATTCGATTTTGATTAATTCGTCTCTCACGAATTTCTCTTCGATATAAGATTTTGTATTTTCTTTAAACACAAATAAAGGAACACAGTGTTGTACTTGCGTAGTACTTATTCAATGCAATGCAATACTTGTATTGTAATTGTTACACGGACCATCAAACAAATTGATTCTTGCCCACACATGCATATAAATGCTTACCTTAAAACGGTCACACTTTCTAATTTGAATAGCAGGTCATTCATTTTAGTAACACTATTAAAAATGTTTAACTAGACACGCATCTTATATCTCTTTAGTAAGGTCTTACGTTAACTCAGCTAGGCAATTAAAATAGTACGCCACAGTCAACTGTTTTTCCGTCGAGGTTACGTCAGAGGTTAAAAATACAACAACGTTTGTATAAAACAGTATTTATGTAAAATATTTTAAATACATAATAATTTACCTATATATACTATACAAAAATATACCTCTACCTAATAAGTACTAGTTGTCCGGTAAAGTATATTTCACTAACTTCTCCGATTCTAACCACAGTCTCTTAGCCAACTCAGGATCTTGAGAGCACTTCGAAGGTAGCTTCTCTCGGCAATCGCTAAAGTATTTCCCACTTACACCTTCTACGTCAGGAGACACTGACAGGTAAATAGTGGTCTGTGCCGCCTCCCAAGGACTTTGGAACATAAATCCTACACATTTTTCTACAACATTTCTAATGATGTTGCTGGGAATGTTCCTAAATATATTTGTGGCAGCCACTCCTGGATGCAAAGCGTTTACTGTAACACCCGTACCCTTCAGTCTAGAACTTAATTCTAATGTCATCAAGTTCAGGAAAAGTTTACTGTTCGCATACACCAAATAATCACTCCAGTACTTCTCCATATTCAAATTGTCAAAGTCTAACTCCCCATATTTATGTATCATGGAAGATACATTTATAATGCGACTCGGTGCAGAAGACTTCATCAAAGGCACTAGCAAACAAGTTAAAAGAAATGGTGCGAAATAATTAACTTGCATTCCGACGTGAAGTCCATCAGCTGTTTTACCGTTACCGAGCCCGCCCGCACCCGCATTGTTGATGAGGACATCGACACGCTTCTCTGTTTTATAAATGTAATCGCAGAAGTCCTTGACCGATCGGAGTGAGGCTAAATCTAGTTGACGGAAGTGGACATCAGTGTTGCCAGTCGCTTTTACTATTTCTTCCTTCGCGGCTGCTGCTCGTCGTACGCTCCTACAGGCCAAAATCACTCTAGCACCACGATTAGCTAGATCCTTGGCTGTTTCCAAGCCGAGTCCACAGTTACCACCAGTCACTATCACCACTTTTCCAACCATATGAGCACTGGTCCGACATATTCCAACTGTTAGTTTCTGATACACCTTCACTATTAGTACTAACAATATTACGAAGCCGAATATTGCCCACAAAATCATTTTCACTGATTAAATTTATTGATATACTTTATGTTTGGGATCGCTCGTTGAAATAAATCGTGACGATAAGTAAGTAATCACTGAAGAGGGTCATGTAAAGTAACCTCAATCATCAGACGCACGAGCTGTATCAACGCGCTTATCGGCGATAAAGAGCTGTCGTGTAATATGACTACATTTTTAGACGCCTTAACTAGCCACAGTCCGCTCATGGCCGTATTCCTAACAACACTAGTTGCCAAACGTGCGTACGCGCCGGTGCGTCGTCGCGGCTCGCTGACTATGTTATATAACTATGTCATTGAGTTAAGAGCTATTCGTTAAACCGACATCACCTTGGATATATAAAAACACAAATTCATTAACACGACTTTAACAAACTGTAGCAAGAAAATTATGCTATTCTCGTAATTATTTAGACAAAAAATGGCAGACAAGGAAGTCTGTAAATTTTATCCTGAGTCATGTTTTATTAATTTTTCAACCTAAATAACAAACCGAATCTAGACATTGCCAATAGTAGTGAAATTTTTAGTGTTTAAACTTCACATGGAAACTAGGAATGTCTTTACCTCTTACCCCGTAGATGCTTCAAACGAAAAGGAAAATCCTGAAGCAAAGCAAAGAATAAAGCCTTAAACAATTTAAGGGGAAAAATCTCGAAATACACAAAAAAATAATAAAACAATTTTTTTCACAAAACAAAAATAAATAAGATTATATTTTAATCACGAAAACGTAGTAGCAAAACCCAATTTGTTGCTTTATTGCAATCATAATATGTTCAGTAATGTCTTTTATACGGAGGACATTATGTCTCAAAGAAAATTGTTTACGAGTAGGCAATTAATGTTTTATTGCTGTTAAAGAAGCTTCTGCGACATACGTGGTTTATGTTCTTTTCCTTATAAATGTAACCGAATTACTGACTGGTTTTGTGACTATCCACGAAGTCTATGAATGTAGCTACAGAGCAAGAAATCCGGATTCGATCAATTTTACAAATATTATCGATTGATTGGTTCAGTACATGGTTCTTAGAAGAATGGTAGTAGAAAGAGATAAGCTGTTTAAAAAGTTTATGAAAGAAATGAAACAAAAGCAATATATAGTATTCTAGCTTCAAATAGTACTAAATCGTAAGTCACCTATTACTAGTTATTTAAAATATTTAATGTTTTAACATTATTAAAGATATTTATTCTATAAACCTTTTCTAATGAGGGAAAATAGTAACTTAAACAATAATAAATTCAACATAATAAAACATACCTAAGTATAAATCAGCGAAACTATGATACTCATTATTGTTAGGTAAGAAATTTCATAAATATGATTCCTTCATTATGTAATAGCACTTTCCTACTGTGATATAATAGATATATGAATAACTGTCATATCATTAGCCTTTAAGTGCTGAACAAAGACTTCTTCTCACATGGTTTAAGCATTAATCACCACGGAAGAACATGGTGGATTGGTGATTTCAAACATAAAATCACAGAAATAATAAGTCCAGGTTTCCTCACTTGTTTTCCTTGACCATATGCCAATGGTGTCTAAATAATCATAGAAAGTACATATAACTCGGAAAAGCGCCTTAACCACGACTCACTTTACTTTCATATAAATTGTCAATCCATCTCTTCTTTTATCATCTTCTTCCTTTAAACCCATCTTTATTTGGATTCTAAAGCTTTTATGAAAATTAAATACTGAAATAAATGAAACGTAGGTAGTTATTATGCCTACGAAATAATTTTATGTTCTTCACAAACCCTTATTTTCCATGTAATTACAAAGGCCTTTACAAGTCCAGAAACAGTTTAGTTGTCGTCTTTGCAACGTCATAACAGACAACTTGGATTTGAACGGATCCCAATTATGTTTAGTAAAACATAATTGGGATCCGTTCCATTAGACAAAATGCTTGTCGCCACTAATCTGACACTAGATATGTTCAGCTGAAGTTTAACTTTGAAATAGACCTTGTTGTGGGTAGGATACAGATTGTAATGACTAATATTTCCACCACCAACACTTATTTTCTTTTTATTGAAATATGAATAATGTTATACTAATAATTATCTAAAAGATACTATTTTTATTTTATTCTATATGTTTATTTATACTAATATTACAAAGAGATAAAATTTGTAAGATTGTAAGTTTGTATGTAGGGGGTAATCTTTGGAACCGCTGGTCGGATTTCCATAATTCTTTCACTGATAGATAGCTACAATATTCCTGAGTGCTATAGGCTATAAAACAGCACACTAAGCCGAGCAGCGAGTGAAACCGCGCGGGAGTAGCTAGTAGTATATAAAAATGTCTATTGCTTGTTGTATTGTTGATTTTTATTTATGTAGAATACTTATAGCTTCATGATAATCAAAGACATTTTTGCTTATCAGAGCGAAGCTAAAAACCTATATACGTATGTATATACGCGAATATTTATCGCATGACTAAACATTCCAATTGAAAACTAACTGGTGTGCATTATGAAAACTATATATAGTATTTTAACATATTTATGGTTACGGATTCTTTACTAAATATTATATTTCAGAAATGTATGATTAAGTACCTACGTCTTTAACTACTCAAGCGCCTTTGGATAAATATAGTTATAACTTACCATAGTTGAAGTTAATAGCAAACTGGTACGGACATGCACACAGAGAGACAAATAATCTTTCATAATATATTGACGTCATCAATATTTTTATATCTATACATATAAAAATCTATCACTAGTTATTTGTATACATATGTACGACTACTCCTTACTACAAATTGGAGTGTTATATACAATTTCACTTGAAGTGACTGTACTTAGTACATGCATGATGCATAAACACCTAGGTATACACTAATATACCTACCAGGCTTTTCCACCATAAAAGTTAAGTACCCCAATAAGTTAATCTACTCAACTAAATTAAGTTCTAATACACTTTACTCCGAGATAAGGCACTATTAAGAATAATAATGAGAAATATGCCATTAAAGCAAAGTGTCGAAGGTGTTTCTCCTGCAATTGCTAAGCAATTTGTCGCGTCAAATCACATCAAACGACCTCATTACCAGGGTTTCCTGTGTGCCGAGCGCTGAGGTATCGAGACACGCCTTATGACCGAGCCTTAGTTTATTACTCACTATAGTCACCTGTTCATTTAGAATAATGTTATATTTACTGGAAACATTCATTTCCTATTATTTGCAATAACAACATTTATTATTTTCTACTATTTAGAGTATAAAATGCGTCACTTTTCTGGTGTGCCCTAACATGTATGTATAGTATTTAATTGTCACGATTAGCGATGATTATTCAGTATAGTTACAATGTCCAACGTTCAAATAATTTTCTTTTATCTTTAAAACGATAAGAAAACACGTGCAGACGATAAAATTGTAGTCAGATTAAGTGTAGATACGTACTAATTTAATATGATATAAGTATGAACAAATTCATAAAACCGATTAAATTAAGTTAATTAGATACATTACTTCTGATTCAATTAAGATTCTTTGAGGCTGTGCTAATCCTGTCTTCGGCTCCTTATTCAGGGAAGTTACCCCGTAGCATCATAAAACTTCGTTGAACACTGATAAATCGCTTGGTGAAGTGTAAAATCTTGTAATAAATTAATTAAGACGTACTTACCTAATTAGCCATCAAACAAAATCGTGCCAAGCGGCAGCGGCCGGTGTATACCTCACCGAAGGCGCCTAATTTTACGGGCCTGTTAAAGTCTTATTGTTCAACTTTAGAGCTCGTAATTCCCTCATGGCAATTACTGTCAGTTCCGAAGTAATATTGCGATGCACTTTGTAATAGATGCACGGTATGAAACCAATCTGTAATATTTAACGACTACGTATAAAAGCATTTTTTATTAAATAAAATAAAATTTAAAAAAATATTTTTTTTATTAAATAAAAAGCATTTTTAAAAAGTATTTAAATTAAGTTTCATTATAAATAATTAATTGGGTAGAAAAAAGAGCTCTAGATATGTAAAACTTTCATTTTATATATATTTTTTTCCATTCCTAGTGGAAATGAAGCTAAATGTCACTAGCGCGCCCTACCCTTTCACGCGGCATAAGGCAACGCTGTATAGCGGCGGAAATAATTATGCTGCAATAGGTAGGCGCACATTCATACAAGAGTTTATTAACCCATTTACAGGTACAAAATAAAAACAGTTTTTTTAAGAACATTTTTCCACTTTTAGACGACTTATCAGTGAATATTACTTAATTGAATTGAGGAGCGCCTGATACAAAAGTTATAGCAACATGGATAAACGTAATTGTATTATTTAATTTTGCAGGCACCAATCAATGCTTTAGTAGTTACTACGAGTAATTACTGAGCCGCGTATTATAATTAAGTGTCAGTTGCTATGTTATTTTGATATAATCGTATCAGTTTTATCTTTATGTGCCTATAATATATATGTGTGGTGTTAACCGTAAGTTTGATGGAATTGGCAATGTTAAAAAAAATTGTCGGACCCGACATCTGTCCTAGTAATAACACTTACACCTAATATAACGTTTTATCTCCTTGACATTTATTTATGTATCTATTACGATTAATATAAATTTAACAACTGCTTATTGAAGCGTTATCTTATCACTAAAAATATATGAATATCGATTCAGTAGAGTTAACGTTCTTGCATCAGCACAATGATTGAGTCGCTTGTTTTAGTAAATATTGCACTGATTTTTCTTATTAAAGTCTATTGCAAATTAACAACAGGATTGTGTAGAAACAGTAAACATTTAGTTGGCAAAGTGGCCATAGTGACTGGTGGAAATAAAGGTATCGGATTCGAGACGGCCAAAAACTTCGCCGAGAGAGGTGCTCGTGTTATTCTGGCGTGTAGGAGTGAGGAGTTGGGTTCAGCTGCGAGGGACCAGATTATCGCGTCCACCGGTAACTCTGATGTTCACTACCGACATCTTGATCTTTCTTCCCTGGCCTCCGTTAGAACCTTCGCTGATGGTATAATCAAAAGCGAAAATCGCCTGGATATACTTGTCAATAACGCCGGTGTGTATGAAGTGCCTTACGAAAAAACAAAAGATGGTCTGCTGCTTGCTGCGCAAACTAATCATTTTGGACCATTTCTCTTGACCTGCCTGCTGCTCCCACTATTGAAAACATCTGCGCCTAGCCGAATTATCAACGTATCCTCGATGGTTCATCGTAATGGAACAGTTGATTTAGATAACCTTAATGCAGAAAAGGAAACGAAGGAAACATATAGTTATAGAAAAGTGTACGCTAATACCAAATTGTATAATATTTTAATGACTGTAGAATTAGCAGAACGATTGAAAGGAACAGGAGTCACTGCCAATAGTCTACACCCAGGAGTTGTGTCAACAGACATTTTGTTGAAATTAAAATCTAACTGGATTAGAAAACTGATGCCTTATATTAGTAAACTCTTTAAAACACAATGGGAAGGTGCTCAGACTTCAATTTACCTTGCTGTTTCCCCTGAAGTTGAAGGCGTTAGCGGTAAGTATTTCGCCGACTGTCACGAAGCAACTGTGACAAAACTGGCCAAAGATCGAGATATAGCACGCAAACTCTGGGAGGTCTCGGAAGAAATGGTTGGTTTTAAATAAAATGCTCACAACAAAAATTATATAAATGTTGTTTTATTATTATTTAAACATAAAAAATATACAGTACAGAATATCCACCTAAATATACCTATATAAATAATTTCATAAAATTTAAATTACGTTTACTTATTTGTTTTTAAGCTAGATGTTCCTAACTATATTTTATGCATTCCTGCATTTGTATTGAAGCCAAGAAAATAAAATAACAAACTTTTTAAAACGAATTGTGTAAAATATAATAAATCACATTGATGTTGGCTCAGAATCTAATCTTTTGCTCACAAAACTTTGGCTATGAAATATCAGCAAAAGTTGTACAAATGGCATTCAAAAAGAGCTTGTATTGAAAATATCGAATATAGGCGACTTTGCGAATACTAAAGTTTTGAGCGAAACTTTATCAGATACTTCTTTATACGTTCCAATATTTTAAAATATAGTTAGACTGAGATTTGTCATTTCGTAGTTCTTTATATCTTCTTTAGTAAAATTGTTCGGAAAGATAGCTATAGGTAAAATGTTATGAAAGTATCCAATATTCCTTAAGTTCTAAAGTTACTTTGTTCAAAAGCAGCTGAATATTTGAGGTATTGGCCGGCAGACTTGTTGTCATGGCAGTGTTTTGTTGGTTCAGGAGACGGGTGGTGTCTCGGCGAACGTCCACGGGAATTCGATATTGCCTCAAGTGAAGCGTTCTAGCAGCATTGTGCACTTTTATTCGCTATTGTCAGTGTGAGCGATGCCACTTCGTCGTGCTCGGATGATTGCGGTATCGTATTCTTTCTTTAGAAAACACTTAGACGTGAAAAGGATTGAAATTCTGATATTCTAACTTATAAATATAGTTGCATTCTTTGGTTATACTCTATACAATCTTCTAAGGATATTCTGCAGCTCAAAGGTGATTTAGGAATTTGTAATTATATTGTCAGAGATTGTTGTATCTTTAAGTAAGCAATATTCTTACAGGTGCACTAATCGAAGGAATAAATATACCTACATAAGTAGCGCACTGCAGTATGTATTTTTAGTTTTTATGTAGAGTTAATTTATGAGTGCATATTAACATGTTTAGGTACCTAGAATGGAAATTCACGATATTACCATATTCTTCTAATGCACTCGTTATTTTCGCACTAACTAGTACTATAATAGACTTATAACTATGAAATGATGTTTATGAGCATTAAGTATTTCTTACTTTGCAGTAATAGTTTTAATTTAGATACATGATATACTCTTTGGTACAAAGACGTTCTAACCACGAGACACAGCTCTCGTTTTTTGACAGTATTATAGTAATGTCAGGTAGGGTATGTAAGACCAAATAAATAATTTATAAAATTAATGTGGAATCCAACGTCAGCATGAATCTTATACCAGATGCTCCCACCCGCGAAAGAACATCATACTTCTGGAGCTGCCTCACTCTTCAAGATGATTGTCCATTCTTTTCATCCGCTGACCCAAACTTATACTACTTTGGGATTACGCTGTTGAGCCTTTACATGGGATTTGTGCTGATGATTCTTGCTGACTTAAAATTTTACTGGTCCGTAGACCACCTTCAACGACAAATTGATTATTATGTAAATCTCGTGCGTAAAAAAGTGAAGCAAGTGCAATCGGATCAAAGGAGATTGATGTCAACGCAAGAGAGGACAGAGAATCAATTGAAGAGAAGTGAGGAATGCAAGCATATGGTGACTGGCATCAGAGGAGCTCTGGCCACCGGTGACCCGCAGCAACTAAATGCTTTAACAGCATATTTCGTTGACACAAGGCCTCTTAACAAGAATACCTGGAACGTAAGCTAAAACATCGTTAATTTTTCACCTGAATGATTTCATTGCATCCGCTCCCTATCCTCAAATACAAAATTATTTTCAACGTTGGACGGTGGAATTTCTGTCGCTTGTAGTCCCGTTATATTTCAGCATCTCGTGCGGATATCTGGATCGAAGGCGAGTCACTGTTTGCTAAAGCGAATACCTTTTATATTTTATCCTTCACACTATGTCACTACGTCTGATGTAAAACAGCATCCAAGAAACTCTTATCGGAGATATATTTTTATGACCAATATGACGTGATAAAGTCAGTTTAACGGTCGAATTTATATTAGAATATAAAACTAAAATCGTAACACTTCTTCCAAACTATATTAACAAGTACACTACTTCAGTTTATCAAACACGAATTTGCGAATTTTCCGTTTCAAACGTCTGCACAATAAAGTTACGCAAGTGAGAACAAAATAAGTACCTAAAGAGTTTTATCTATGTTTCCTTGACTTCCAGCAAACTTATTTAAAGTTTCTTGTTGTTGAAATACTTGTACCTCTAAGTTGACTCATTCCGATACTTTGTGAACATAAACGTTGCTTCGTGAATGAGACGTTTGCTCGGTACAACTAAGTAGGTTAAATATGTTATAACTAGGTAATGTTTGATAAAATTTTGCAACGATGCAGTAAAAATAGAGGATGAAATATTTCTAGATAGTTGTAGTTGCTCTAAAAATATCGATAAGCGAAACGTAAAATATCGTAGCAAAGTGCGAGGTGTGAAAAATCGGAGCAGAACGAGATTAAACTATCGCGTTCAAATATAACTTGTTCTGCTGAAGTTAGAAATATGAAACGTGCATGTGAGCATGAATAGAATTATTGTACAAGTCCAAGTATCTGATTTGAAACGTAAATTTTTCAAACAAACGTAAGTACCTGTGCAGGCAGGTATCTGATGTATGTAGGTAGGTAAATATTATTTGTTTTGAAGACAATTGGGAATGTAGTTATCACTGTGTACGTATATATTTGGGTATTTTGGTATCCTTGTTTTTATTTTCTTATACTTAGTGACTGTTTCGCAATGTTTGAACAAAATTTATATATGATGGATAATGCCATACGTTAAGAGTGCGTATAAAGCAAAATTACCAATCTTCTATTTGAATTCTAAAATTTTGCTGAGTTTATGCGCGCTCTTAATGGCACAGCCGTCATCAGTAAGGTTTTCTGGTAGAAGATTCATGGCGGAGACATTTCAAACAACAACTTTACGTCACAATCACTTTTTATTCTTAGGAGTTAGTTAGCTTAGCTTGCTTAGCCTATAACAAATTATTTAACTAACTCCTATGTATAGAAGATGATGATTCTCCAACGCCACTGTCGCCCCTTCCAACGATTCCGCTCACGTGACTCGTCATCCATAGACCAAGTCACGGCATTATACTCGGTATTAAGAACTCATTGAATGTCTTGGTATCGCTAAATGATCGACATATAATTATGTTTTTATATGGTACTTATATGGAGGCATGGAAAGGAAGGTGAAATACGCCCTTAGTAAACCCTAGCATAAAGCAAATAACAAGAACTATTTTTATTAATATTTAAAAATTATAACGCTTAAGTCGTTCCCTTAAGACTATAGCGTACAAACTTGTGAACGATTTAGAATAGTTTTCATGTTACGAACCCTATATTAATAGTGAAATCACTGTCATCTACACACAATCGATCCGTTTAAAGGAAATGGTTTTAGCTGAACTGAACCCCGTAAAATGTTATGGTAGGAGAAAGGTATATAAAACCATGTAACTAAGTGATTTTCCGACCATAATAATAAGGCAAATAACCCCAAAAACAGATTAGACACACTTGGAAGAGATAGTCGGGAATTCGCGTTTCCTGCATTTACTGCAAAGGCGTACTGTTGGAAGAAAAACTCCAATAACAAGTAGGAAAAGGAAGTTCTTTATGTTATTTTATTGGTCACTAGTTTTGCAAGAGAATACCTATAAGATTTTATTTTTATGTTGCTTTGAGGATCGATAAACCTATGACGGATATTGGAATACGTAAGTAGGTTAGAAACTATAAGTTACGCGGATCAATCGTATCGGTCGTCGATCGGTAATCGGTTGGGCGGAAGGGAGTGTCAGACTTTTACTGACTAAAACCCCCGATCCTTCCCCTGTTCTGGACTGAGGCCGTGATGCCTCATTGCGCTTACCCTGCAACCCCGACTGAACATCAGCCCTATAGGGCCCCGTCGGTGGTAGTCTATTGGCTCTTTGAGGTGACCGCGCGGAACGCTACGCTTTGTACGCTCGGGTCTAGATCCGTTCGGGCAGCGAGCTACCCTTACTCGCCATCCGCAGTCCCGCGCTTACAGTGTCCGGAGATCGTATCTCCATCCCTGACGCCCGGAGTGTTGCCTACTGTGGCGGCTGGGGCGTGAGGAGGAGGATTGCCCCCTCACGCGGTCGGCCTCTTTCTTTGCGAGCATAACTCCTTTACAGTTCAGTTCCTTTCACTCCGCACTATGGGCCCGACTAAGGTCGGACGCAAGACCCTGACTGGACCCTTCCCTGAAGACACGGCGGTACTCAGCCCAAGCAAGGCACACCGATACCGTGTGCTCCACCGTGTCTTCTGGATGGTTCTCACAATGACGACACTCGGGCGTTTCCTTCCGCTGGATCCGAAACAGGAACCTACCGAAGCTCGGGTCAGGCGGAAGGTGAGGACGTCGTGGCGTCTCCAAAGCCACTTCTCAAAGAGGGGTCTTACCACTGCTATAACAGCGTGCCCGACTATTATAACCTTAAGGTTGCCCTAAGAATTCTCTTATCTTTTTATACAGCTGTATCTTAGTAAAAAAATATAAATTAAAAACTGATTGATTTCTAACCCTTCCCTTAGTATCCCATCGATTTATAGACATCTTTTTTGTGAGTGGTTAAAATATTTTTACCAGCTTACTAGTTTGAGTACTAACCTAAACTGAGTAAAGATGATTTGTGTAATATGTTTTTCAGAATTTTATTTGTGAAGATTTCTAAGTGCACGTCTCAATTTTTCACTTACTTAAAATGCAATTTCTCTTATTATTTTTGTTTCAGGCAACAAGACGATGTCCGCAGACGGATTCATCCGATTGGTTTTCCTAAACTTGTGTGTGAGATAATAATAAAAACTAGCTTTGGAATAAAGCAATTAAGAAGAAGCTAAGCTGCGAGATTGCATCGGACAAACTTCTTGTATCTCCTACTGCAAACTATCTTCATTGCGCAGCATTCGTGTACCTATCTGCTATCTAAATCGTATGGAAACAATGTTTTGTAACCACATTCACGTTGCACATACCCCGTTTCCCAAACTAGATTTTGCCCTATACAGCAAAACACTTGGCTCTGCTCCAATGGCTTCCTTAAACATTCTAAAATGTAAAAAAAATACAAAAAAAATAAATAAAACAAATTATTAGCTGTTTTAATACATTTATTTCACACAAACACACGAACTGTCATACATCTCTAATAAATAACCCTAACTTACCTATTTGTTAATTTTATACAAAGCTTTGGTTACAGTAATTAGTTTCAAACAATACAGTAGTTACTAAGAATAATCTTAAATACAAACATACACTACAATGTTATACTACAATTACTTTGGTGTTACTCGGTGGCCTTAATGTCGGCAAAGAACAATGAACGATAACGGTATCAACGAAAACTTAACATAAAATTAACAAACACAGCCATGATCAATAATTTAACAATAATATCACAATCAAAACTTAACAACAATTCAACGCTTAAAACTATGTAACATTAACAACGTTTAATTGTTCAACAAAATTATACCAAATGGTAAAAACAAAAGGTGCGTAATGACAATTTTATCCCCGTTTATGTGTTTTGTACTCAGTCACTTTGGAAACTATTGGTTGATGGGGTTTAATTTAATTATGAGCTTAACAATGTAATTAATTTTCAGCGGTACGTGTATCGAAATACCGAAATTAACAATATGGAGTGTGCTTGTAATAAAATATACCATAACAAAACGATATTGAAGGGACAAAATAGTCACTAGGCTGATGTATTCAACAGAACCGTATTCTAATATTGAAATTCAAACAATATTTATACGCAACTGTGATAAAAAGACAATGCGTCCAAATAGGATTTCGACTTCATTGGTCAAAACCCTATTAGAAGGCAAAATAACACGACACAAAAAAAAATGAAACAATAATAGGCACATTACGGTAATAAGGCACAATGTGATTGTTTCAAAGAAAAGGCTAAATGAACAACAATTATTAAGTCACAGGGAAAAAGGATTTGAAGTCACTTAAAAAAGAGCACCTTGAAGAAAATAAACTGGCAAACCACGGAAAGGAAATTTGAAATGAAAAAGGGCAGGAACAAAATTTATAGTCGTAGAAGAAACAAAATCAAAGCCAAAGAAATCAGTCAAAAAAAATCAGTCAGACAAAATTATAAACAAAACAAAAACTGAACTTTAGAAATTAACAGTTAAATCAACAATCAAATCAACGTAACAGTGAAACAAAAACTCAACAAGAAATTCCTTAACGGAATAAAACTGAGGTTTCAGGGATCATTTTTAACAGGCATTGGCAATAACAAAAAAATCGAACATAAACAAATCCTTCTATGGAAAATGCCAAAAATATTCCTTCGACTGGTAATAGTGGTAAGTACCATCTGATTTAACAATAACAAAAACAATTTTATGATACCTATTAGGGGAATTCGTAGTTTTAAGTTATATATCGAAATCGACGTTAATAAGACTTTTGTTTACGTTGTGTTTACGAGCTTTACGAATTCAAATTCAACGGATAATAGAAGATCGGTATCAGATCAGGTGAGAAGTAAAAACAAAACAAAAACTTAACTAGAATGTAACAGTCAACTCAACGAGGTTAACATCAACAAACTTGAACACAAAAATTAAGAAGTTGATAATTGGGGATCCGAAGAAGTGTTAAATGAAATGAATTTTATAGTTATTACAGTGAAATAAAATCAACCTGCAAATTATTACTTTGAATAAAAATGAAAATAAATAGGTAAACCAGCATTCTAGTTCTTATATGATGAGAAACTGGATAGGTATCGAGAAACCAATGACACGAATGCAACCGAACCACAAAACAGTCAACTCACAGTAAGTTACAGTCACATCCACATCGGTTAGCTTTTCGAAACCCTTCTAAAATGGATTTTGTCAAAAAGTTATAAACAAAACAAAAACATAACTTGAATGAAACAGACAAATCAATAGTGTAAGTGCCAACGTAACAACAATAACTTAACAAATCTGAAATTAATTAACAAGATTGTTTTGTTGGTATGTGATCCATGTTTAAGAATTGTGCTCCTCTCTTTATTCATTTTCTTTACACAGTAAATCCGTCTTGCAAAAGATCTATTTTTATTGGTCCCGCTTTTTTAGTGCAAAAAAGATGACCGACTAAATTGACAAACTGTTAAGCGAAAGAAACTTCTAGAACAGCACTATCAGATGTTCCTTAAATTCTATATATATACTAGTGATATTATTTCTGATCTATAGATACAAATGTTAAGTACTAAACAACATTTTGTCGGTAATAAGTAGGTATCAAAGGAAAGATGTCATAGTATAAAAAAATAACTGATACTTGAACTGGTGAGAAAACAAGGTGTTAATGTGTCGGCGATTTAAAGCGTTCATCTCAATTTTCATGCACTAGTCGCTAAGTAAAAGGTTTTGATGTATATTTAAAATGTACATCGCAAAGGTACAATCGATGATATCAGATCACTGAAGCTGCAAGACGGATTCATACGGAAACATGATTGGTTTAACAAAAATTCAAACTTAACTTGAAATCAACAACGATTAACAAAAACAAACAACGGGGTTATTCAAACAAAAAATCAACACTAACAGTTTGAATTTGAACACTGTAGCTGAATTTTTATGGCAGGTACTTGCGCATATTTTAACAAAAAACTTTGCTGTTTTTAAGTCTTCAATTTGAATTGTAACAAATGATATTTAAAACAAAACTTCAACGGTTTTTCAAACAAAAACTTAAAAGTACTAATTAACAATAGCAACGTTGCCAGGCCAGCTGGTTTGTTGCAAATTAAAACAAAAAATCAACGTATATACAAAAACAAGAAACATGAACACAACTATTGTGGTAGGTGCATGTCAACATTATTTCGAATTTGGAATGAAAAGTAAATTAAGAACTTTGGTCTTCATATTTGGCATATGAAAATCAGATAAATATTTGGCAGCTACGATGTATTGTTTCCAGAATATATTAATTTGAATGCAAATATTCGTGAAATACTGGCAGCTGCAAGTGCGAACACTGAATTTTAATCTGTAGCCAAAATTAACAGAAAACAACAACGTACTTTAGAATCCAACAGATGTAACAATAGCAAAAACAGACTCAAAACGTGAACAATTGAAACAGTTGCAAACAAAACATGTAACGTAACTTAGTTTTGACAACAACACCGATCATTAAGGCACTTTTGGTTCAAATGTGAACTCTATAATGCTCTTAATATTTGGTCCAAGTACTTATCTAATGCTATCCTAACCTTAATTTATGAATAAAACCTAGTTTATACTAATTGTATGTACAAACATTAACGATTTATCCATAGACGTTTAATTTATTCTCTAACAACACGTTATCCTAAAGTTATGTCTATCCTATCTTTGGGAAGTCTAGAAAGATTATTTGCATTCACCTGGTTTGGTTGAACGGTGGTCTGTGTCCTTTGGTTTAGTTCGTATACAAGGTTGTTCCTTAATGCTGTTGGCTGCTAGCAGAATAATAACTTAGTGTGTTTCTCAGCAACTTCAACTTCATTTTGCCATTTGTTTAAGATGATAATTTATCATTTCTGCATCTTTCCAAGCTATTTCTGATTAACTTTCTACGTATCTGTAACAAAAATGAAAAGTAAATTAAAATAATGAATATAAAAAAAAATATGAAGACTATAATAAACAAGTTCTTTGCCAATTTAACTGAAAGAACATAACAACTCAATTGTTAATTAGAAAATAATTTATTTAAGTTACTTACTTGTAGTGTTCGTGAAAGTAGAATTGGCCGGGACTTCAATTTTGAAGACTGTTCCTATTGTTCACTGTATCGTCCTTAATTTATGTCTGTTAACCGTTTTTAACTTTTAATTGACAAAGTAACAACTTCGATAGGACGCTGGTCCGGCACTACCGGGGGCGCCGTAGCGCGATTCCCCGGAGCTGTGAACTGTATCGCTTACTATTCGAATATGACTCAACCAGCGAATTTTTGGCCCTTATATTTGATTCCCGAAATCCCTCCCCATACGACCCGTGGGAGCGCGTGCGCACGTGGGCTCCTTGCGTAAGCGCACACAATGCTTCCCTATTCTTTGTACGCAATACGACGCATTGATTTCGTCCCCTCGAACGTCTTACCTTCTATCTGTTACCTGTACTGTAGGGGAGAAATCCTGCCCGGTGGGAACTTGTGTAATCGTAACTGAAATTGAATTATTGTAGACGATAATCACACGATTTTATAAGAGGGTTGGCTTATACTTTCACACGGTACGTTCTATTATTATGCAAATAGTGCAGGATTAACGTTCGCTGCATCAGAATTTGCCGTTACTGTATAATATGTTCCTACTTGCCTTATACTAATTAAGGTAACAGTCATTACCATACATTTAATGCCACCCTGTTGATGCAGGCTGAGCACTTGCAATATTCAGAGCTAATCGACAAAGTTCAGGTCTCTACGTAACATGTTTAGCAGGATATAGTGCTGCACAACGCCCGCTTCAGCAATTTTGCTTAAATCGCGGTTCGTAGCCCCGGAACTCTTGTCAATATAAATATTTTTAAATACACAGAACAGCGCTGCAGTTTCCTCTTGCAGTAATAATTCACCTCTACTTTACGGACCAGTTGCAAAGCAAAGAAATAAAACAAACCACAGGATAACATCAAACTGTTTTCGTCTATTTTCTTCTTCGCTTCTTTGTAGGTGCTCGATAAAATTGGTGTGCTATTATTGCTAGTAAATCCCTGAAATAAATTTCTGTGAAACTAAGCATATGGTATCAATAGGCTGTAATTAATTAACAAGTATAAACTTTTACTTTTATGCCCATAAACATTCCTATCTGCAACTTAGTTTTTATACCGCAGAACATATATGAATTAAGTTCAAAGTTTTCTACAACAGTACTCCTGCTCCGAGCTGTTCAGCATTTTTAACA